TATGTTTGGCTGGCACAATCCAGCTTGACCCCATCAGGTTATAGGATGTAGTTTCAGGTCAACTCATGCATGAAAAAAAACATTGTGGACATAATTTTATATCATGTGTTTGTGTGCAGCCGAAGACATTCGCTTTCAATGAAACTGTGTTGAATTTTACTTTCATTTCATAACAAATCAACAAATTGATTTTTTGTAAGTAATTATATTCACGACTAATAATTGACAAATAATTTGTGACACCTTGAAAAATATAAGATATCACCTGTGAAATAGTGTGACCAGATTACACTACTGTGATTGTTTTCTTATACATGGAAATTCTGACAATTTGTTTTTCAACTGTTCATAACGCCTGTTTTAGAATTAAATCAAGACCTTTTGCTCATGTCTGATGGCTAAATTATGGAGATGTCTAAATTAAAATAATAACTTTAGTCTTCCTAACTGATTGTACATGTCTCTATATAAAAAGACTACTCTTCCTAACTTATAGTTTATGTGACATGAGTCTCCCTAACTTACAGTTTATGTAAAGCTATTTTCCTGTTTGTGTATGCAAGGATATTCCCTTGAATTTATGGTTTAAGTGCAACTTGTCTTCCAAACTAATTGCACATGCAAAGCTAGTCTCCCTAACTGATTGCACATGCAATGCTAGTCTCCCTAATTGATTGCACATGCAAGGCTAGTCCCCCTAACTCATTGCACATGCAAGGCTAGTCTCCCTAACTGATTGCACATGCAAGGCTGGTCTCCCTAACTGATTGCACATGCAAGGCTGGTCTCCCTAACTGATTGCACATGCAAAGCTAGTCTCCCTAACTGATCGCACATGCAAGGCTAGTCCCCCTAACTGATTGCACATGCAAAGCTAGTCTCCCTAACTGATTGCACATGCAAGGCTAGTCCCCCTAACTGATTGCACATGCAAAGCTAGTCTCTCAAACTGATTGCACATGCAAGGCTAGTCTCCCTAACTGATTGCACATGCAAGGCTAGTCTCCCTAACTGATGGCACATGCAATGTCTAGTGTCCCAAACTAAATGCATATGCAAGGCTAGTCTCCCTAACTTATTGCACATGCAAGGCTAGTCTCCCTAACTGATTGCACTTGCAAGGCTAGTCTCCCTAACTGATTGCACATGCAAGGCTAGTCT